TTATATATTAAATAATATTAATTATATATAATTATATGTATATATATATTAAATGTTTTATTTTTTATTTATATTTTATTTAATTTATTTGATATATTACTGATACGAGACTCTCGATTAATTGTCATATAGTCTTTACAGTTGATTGATATTCCATTCGCATCTTATCACCGTAGTCGTATTACCATCGATGAAAGAATTGACCCTTCCGCTTGACCTAGATCATTATTTCTCTATCGATTTCCCTATTTTTAACGACCAACTAACTATTCTACTGGCTGACACGCCAATGAACTTGTATTTGTAAAAAGAAAGGAAGAACAAAAGAAAAATAGACTATATTTATCGAGTATTATATTATATTTCATTAATAACTGTGTTACACACACACACACACACACCGATATGTTGTATCTCTTTTAATAATTTTCTTGTTCCTTTTTTTTTTTATTTTTTTTAAATAATTATGATGAAATTCGATTATATTTAGTATACAAATTCATTTATATACGTCAAGAAAATTGAGAAAGGAGAACGAAGTTCGACATAAAATGAAAACCCTCTCTTTATTTTCTTCTTTTTTTTTTTTTTTGTTTAATATACAAAATAATATAAGTCATTCTATCGATCTCAGATTTAGGGTACCTTATTTTTTGTTCTTTTGTTTTAATCTAAGAAAGAATAGAGAAGAAAAGAAGAAATAGAAGAAAACTGTAAAAGCTTATACCACTCGGAAACGATTTTTTTCGTGACACAAATTCCTCCCTTGTTCGCGCCCATCGTAACTTTCTACCCCTTTGCTTTGATTCACCACTCTCTTTCTTTCTTTCTTTCTTTCTTTCTTTCTTTCTTTGATTCTTCCTTTTATTTTCTTCTTTTTTTTTATTTTTTTCGTTCTTTTAACCATTTTTGTCTGAACTTCTGAGAAATCGCGAAACAACCGCGCGTATACGCGGCCGGTTTAGATTCGTTTTATATTTAACCGGGGTAAATTACTTGAATGAGAATAATAATAAGGAGTAGTAGAGTAGTAGTAGCAAAGTTAAACGACAAAGAAAAAGGGAATGTAAAAAGCTTTCTTTCTTTTAAAAAACGATTTCTACCTTGAGAAAGAATAATCTTCTCCTGCTTCGTTGTTTCATTATTATTATTATCATTATCATTATTATTATTATTATTATTATTATTATTATTATTATTATTATTATTATTATT